TCGGCCGGTAAGCCTTCGGTCCGGTTTGCAGCGACGCATTGTGCGCTCCACCGACGCGTTAATGCCGCGACGCGCGCAACAGAGATCGAGGCGTATTTTTAAGACGGATACTTAGTGCGTTACATTATTATACTTTTGTTTTTTTTTGGTCGCGGGCGTGTAACCCACACGGTCCGTGTTTTCATATGGCGGCCGGGTCGACGCACCGCTCCGGTTATGATACCGAATGCCTTTAGATTTTTGATTGAGGTTTTATTTTATTTGGCGCGACGTTCGCCCCGATTACGTTTCTCGTATTCGTTTACCGCTCGGCCAGTTTTTGTTTCGACGAGTTTCATTGTTCGTAACGAGATCGATTTTACCGATAAGCCATCGGTTTTAATGAAGACGTGGGTGTGCTCGGCTTTACTGAATCGCACTCTTAAGATCAAGGCTACCTATTGGCAAGCATTGACACTTCCTCACTTGGGATTGTCGAACCGGATCGTCGTGTACTGCAACAACATTTATGAACACTGGTCGCCGAGGGTTGCAAACATGACATAAACATGTCGATCGAAGGAGATTTCCCGAGAAAGTTTACAAAATATTTGCATTTAATCAGTGTCCTGAGTCGCAGGTCGCAGGTCGCGAGTCGCAAGTCACCTCAAACTTACAAATAGCATTCTCACGCGACGCGACAGACCACCGCGACACACGACAACTCTCCACAATTAAGATAAACTTACAAATTCGTACGCAGCGATTAATTGTCGCGGCGACGAGACACCGCGATCGTCACTTTACAAACTAAAGGTAATTTTTCAATGCTACACAACAAGATATCAAGTAAATGGATAGTCATTATTAATATTGCCCATTTTACGATGCTTTTACGACAGAACGATGTTCCCGCTCACTTTACTTCCGTAAACTTGGCGTTTATTGAGTTAACATGTTGTGTGCTGCGACATCGGTTTACGACTCGCTAGACATGAATAGTTTAATAAAAATAATCAAATTTAGGAGTGCCAATAAATGGTGACTGTTTGTATTGCAGTGCAGCAACTGATGGACGGAAACCGAACCCCTACGATCGTAAAGAAAAACAAGTGGATGTATTAAAGGCACAATAACAGTAAATAACACGGTAGTTGAATAGAATCGATGCCGTCCGTATCGGCTCTCGATCGATACTCATTACAATGTAACGTTTTAACGCTCGTTTAGACGCCACAACGAATCACGGGCTGTTATTTAAATTGCTTAAGAACCGAGAGTAATTTAACTCGAGAAAAACTGGTTTCGAGTGAAATTCGCGCGCTATCTCATCTCTCGTATCTCTTACGATCGCCATGTTGGTCGGAGAATAGATATACTTGACTTAATAGCGCCATTTGCGAACATAATAAAGTACATAACCGCTTGGTCATTGTACTGGACGTAATGAAGCCACGAGTGCAATTTTCGCGCGAGCATGACCTCGCCGGCCGATGGCGGCCGATCGCACCGTCGACAACGGCGCGGGACGAACTTTAGCGTCGAGCTTTAAAAGGTTCAAGCGAAATGAGCGCCCCGAGACCACTAGTAATACTAAAATGCATTTCTGCGCACTCGGGCGGCGAGCTTTGAGCTCCTCGAAACGTAGATTGAGATTAAGGCAGGCAGGAGGATATGACGCGAGAGTGCAGGCACTACGAGCTGTTTCCGAGGTCCCGGAGTGCGGCGCTTGCGACGTTATGGTGCGGGCATTGCGCTAACGAACAACGATTCCCGCTCTAATTTGCGGACATGGCGAGCGATCGATCTCATTGGATTTTTGAAAAAGGAACACCGAAGGCACCTTATGAGCCGAGGCACAAATTGAGCAATTTAGTGCTCGCCTGCTCGCGCGCGCCTATCTCCCGCCACCCATCTCACTCCGAGCCTTTTTTCATTTTCATATATCCAACGTGAATTCTAAATGAGAATATTAAAAATTAGTTGGTTCATGTTTAGGAGCGGTCTGACTTGTAATTATGTGCGCGCTCGCACTTGACAAATGAGTTCGAACGCCGACGGAGACAAATCAATACTTTGGAATTCTCACAAAAAATTAAGTTCTTCTAATAAGAAAATTACAAAAACTAGAAAGGGTCCTACAAGAATCCAAAACTAATAAGTGAGTGAAGTATCTAACTACTCCAGTAATGAATTTTAAAAATGCTAACATTGCTTAGAAAGCTTCGTTAGATACCTACAGCACGAATACCTAAACACCTCCACTATGAGTACATACGGGGCTGTCTACTACATAACAGTGTCAGTGGGATACAGGACAGAGGGCGCTAGCAGTCGGTGTGCAGTACTGTGTACGCGGGCATTACTTGAAATAAAACAAACACGGGGTATCGCAGCACATCCATGCGTCATTATCAGCGCATTGTTTTTGTTACTAATTTAGGTAAAAACACCGTTTGAGCGGGGAACCCTGGCGCGGGCATTCCAACGCGCCCCGTCGCCATGGTAACCGACGCCGCGCACGCTCCCGCCAACCACCGCCCACCAAACAAACAACTAACAACCTTATTTTTTACCCCACAGAGCTCTAATCGCCAACACTACCAAATGAAGTTATAACGTTCTTTTACGACGCTCTACAATCGTCGATATCCAATCATAACAATGAAATTGCGACCTTAATGTCTCCCGGTAAAGTGCCATTCAGAACGCGCGAACGACTTAAGAATAGCGACATAAGGAATTGTTTTATCTCTTTCGCACGTCGTAAAGACACGGTCGCCCTGTCTCGCTCGCGTGCCGAATCCTTTCTCGCTAAAGACGGAATCGATACACTTGATATTTCTCTTTCTGGCGCACTTTTTGTTCGAATCGTTGCCACTGTTAATCCGTCTTCGACAGCGTTCGTTAGATAAAAATCGTAAAGTGTAACTCACGAATAAATTGACTGCGATTCTTCGTGCGCCGTTTATTCCGTGTTCATTTTCGGAACATTTCCCTTCGACGAAAATTCTTTTGTGTTTTAAACTGAATGACGGGCGAACGCGCGAACTACGGTAATTGATATAGTGTAATGGAAACGGGCAATGACGGTGACGTGTAAAACAAGAAAGAGATAGACGGACGTCATTCTATACGAGCAAGTGAGATGGTTATCGGAGTACGCGACTGTTATAACGATGCATGTGCATTATATTGTTACGGTAATTGTAACTTTACACCCACATGATAAAGTTTAATTTAGAACACGACAGGAGAAAGGTCCGGTATTTAGCTACTATTCGATAGATGGCGTTGATGTACCGAAATTATATTTGGTGTTCCAGCTGCACTAACAACTATGTTAGGTAGTTTTTTTCAAAGTAAATTAGATACAAAAATAATCTCTGATAACTGTAAAACAAGCAATAAAATTATTTAAAAATGGCAATTATACTTATAAATATTGATAGATTGCAGTGTTGTGCTAACTTCAATAACATGAATGCGGGACAAAAACTTGCAGAACTTGTAAATCTAGACATTTATAACAGAACTGTCAAAATTATAATCTCAATTAGGCGCACGACGTACGGCGGCGCACCGGCTGGTTGTTGGCCGGCGGCGAGGTAAAAAATAATTGTCATTACTTTTTGAAATCCTTTGCGATATTTTCCCCGGCGACCTTGCATCGGCGAGATGACACCGAGATCGTACGCACGATAACACATGATCGATGGCCTGTCGCCTGTGCGTGCGCGCCGCAAACATTCGATATTCATCCGAGTACTCGATACAATCAGACACGAGTTTCGATACTTAAAAAACACTATTTGTGAAGCCTTAGAGTCGACATTAGTGTGCTATTGACAGATGTAAATGTCATTCGATTTTTCGTCGGCTCATTACGTAGAATCGATTTGAACTGTCATCGGGATGTTTGTTCGTTTTTCAAATTATAGAAACTGTAGGCTGGTGTTTGGTGTTTGGAGAAATATGGTACTTATGTAGTTTGTGATATAAACACCGTATTGATATGTTCAACAAATTTTTATTTTCTTTTTAAGTATTGGATAGCTTTGATTGTAATGAGGGGCGTTTATTTATTTCATTTGATTGTGTTAATGTGTTTTTTTTTTTTATAAAATAAGTACGAGTAAGGCACCGACACAAGTTATACCACCGTTGTTAACGTCAGCACCGGAATAATTTCAAATGCCCAAGTATGGTTTTTTATCTCTATTTGGCAATAGGTAAACGCTAGTTCTAAAAACTAGATTGTAACAAGATAAGTTTTTATAAATCTTTATTACGTGTTACGGAATAAAATTTAGCAATTCAAATATGTAATAACAGCTTTTTTAATAACTGGACGCGCGAGATATTTATCGAATCAAGATTAAAATTGGAAATTACGGTAGAGATATGATGGCGAAAAAGTTAAGGTTTCTTTATCCACACACGTAGTAAAAGTTCAAGCGGCCATCAGTCAGGAGTACCCGTGACCTTGCGCCGAGTGCTCCGGACACCAGTGATTGACGGCACCATCGCCCGCATGCTATGATCCCCTAGTACTTGTGCTATATCATCGTGCACTATTCACGTGCCTATGCTCGCCTGGTGTTCGAGTTTATCATGTTCTAAAACGACCTCTTCTTTCTCATGATTTACTGGTACACTGATTGTAATATTCTCAAGTTATAGTGTATTATTTATATTTATAGCTAAATAAAAAGTATTAATAAAATACCGGTGAAAGGATTTTCTGTGGAATCGGAGTTAAGATCTCAAGTTTGTTTCGAAATTGGTCATAATTTGTTGGCCTTAGAGCAAATATTGATACAATTCAAGCATTCATTTTACCGGAAACTGAGAGAAACGTTCTACTTAATGATTCCAATTTATTATGAATGTTATTTGGCATAATCTGGTTGACATCCTGGTTGTAGACTTGTAACCGAAAGGAAATATGATTCAAATACCTATATAAACTTGAGACCATAATTACCGACCACAGTTCCAATTCCAGCTTTGTTCCATACCTGGGTACTCACCCGGACTGCCCAGGAACACTGAGGAGTAGACCCGCCGCGCTACGTCGGGAGGGGATGACCATTCACGCCGCGATGGGCACCATTTGCCTGGAAACAAGAAAAGAAGAATTAGCTTCATAAAATAGCAAAAGATAATGTTATGGGTATAAATAATTTATGCTAAAAATAATATTTTTTTATTGTTGACCGTCCAAATAGAATATATAAAACTTTTTATTGTGAAACCATAAAGATAGCTATGAGTGACAGCTGTCATATTATTACAGTCCACTGTGTTTTTTTGTTTTATTTTTTTTAGTAACAAATATATCATTTTGAGTGAAACGTGGTTTTTAAATAAAAAATCCCAGAAAACATAAAATTCACTATTAAATAGGTGTAAGGTTCAACATTGACCAACAAAAAATAACATAACATAACATCACGCCATTTTATCCCCGAATTTGTAGGCAGAGGTGAGACCGCTTGCCCAGCAGTCGCACTTGCGCCAACAAAAAATGTATTGTATAAAATAAACGCAAGGATAATAACGCAAATTAATCCCAATTTCACTATTGCAGGATTTTTTTAAGGGGGGAAAATCATCGAATGACTGCTTCCGCCTGGGTGAGCCGGGAGGGAGTGTCTTACTAAAAACCACCCCGTTCCTTCTCCTGCACGTCGAGCCGAAGCCCCGGTAACCCGTTAGGTTCTCCGCGACACTATTGCAGGATAGGATCCAATTTAGGACGGACAGATTTTGCCATTTTTAATACATATTTCTATCGTTATGTTGTTTCTAAAAATTCATCAGGTAAATTGTAAGATTATTGTCGTAGGTATGTTAAGAATTGAGCAACACCCATACAAAGCTGGTGCGTGCTGCTAGTTATTTTAAATCCTGCCGTCATTCTTTAGCTAAAATCAATGATGGAATCAACTTATACCTACGACGAAAACTTGCATCCCTTCATAGATTGAAAGATATAGTGTTTAATGCACAATCATCGTGACTTATATTTTCACTAGAATCATAACTTAGGATCAAATTATCTTTATTATCTTCGAACTACATAATCTTGTCACTGTCTCTTGATTAGCTATCTGTTAGATAGATATGGCTGCTTTCTTCAGATTACAAATATCAATTGGTTCGTTATTTGTTATTTTCATAGCAGTACCTACTCATGTTCTAGTTATCAATAGTCATTTATTTTTTTTGAGCGGAAGTGTATTTTTGTCTTGTGTCAATCAGTAAGCTGCTTGAATAAGTTATTTGCCGTCGGAAGTATTGAATTTTGATTTTATTTTATATATTTTGTAGGTTGTTATTATTAAACTATTTGAAACTGTCAAACACCGCGTGGTCACCGGTGACCGCAACCTATTGTTCTGTAATTGTGTCTATAATGACGGTACTCGACGAGTTAAATAAATGTTAGGTAGATAGAACAGAAACAGTCAATAAATATATAGATAAACAAAGCAGTGTTGATGACTGTTGATGAAGCGAAAGAGGTATGTAAGAATCGTAGCAATTGGTGTTCCATAGTCTCTGCCTACCATGGGAGACAGGCGTGAAGTTATCACTACATAGTATAAAACAAAGTCGCTATTCGCCGTCTGTCTGTCCCTATGTATGCTTAGATCTTTAAAACTACGCAACGGATTTTGATGCGGTTTTTTTAATAGATAGAGTGATTTTTTAGGAAAGTTTATATGTATAATACATGCATATTGCACCCGTGCGAAGCTGGGGCGGGTCGCTAGTGTATGTATAAACAAAGCAATGTTTTTAAAGTTATTTCATATATTAGTCCAATCTTAACAACAATCCATAATGTTTATAACATAAGATATAAGCATGCTCAAAATATCGTTACGACTCCGCACAATTAGGTACGGCTCGCTATCACACAGTCTCAAATTGAATAAAACCGACTTAAAAACCTAAAGCATCGTTCGACAAACGTCCAGTACAAATTAGCGTTGTTTTGTCCAAAACACAGACTATAGAGGGCAGGTAATTTATCCCGAATTGCCAGATTAATGAAAAAGAATGTTGCCAGTTAAGAAGGGGGTGTTTCCGAGGCCGGCAAATGGAACATAATATACCTACTCTTTTGTTTTTTAATGGACGAAGACTAGTGTGTCTATAGAATATTTAAGGACTGTTTCCATGAGGAACTTTTATTCAATTGATTTAACAATACCACAGAGTATTCTTGCACTCTTCGTGTGTTATTGGACTTATTGGTAGATATCTACTTTAGAGGTGTAATGTAATGTAAGGTAGGTTCGCCAAAGATGACCCGCTTCCTAAGATGGCTCACTTTAGATAAAATGCAGTTATGATAATCGTAACTGAAATATTTGAAACTTCGTAGGTTTGTGTGATGTCGGTCAATTGAGGGTACTTTGATAACATTAATTATTGTATGTGTGCGGCAGCCAGTCTGCGAATATACGCCTTGTAACTAAGTCGTTGTTTGATTACGATCCGATATTTCTCAGTTTGTTTGTCAAATAAATATGTATATTGCGACCAGCAATATTATTTGACATTTTGAAATAAGGTGGGCCTTATTAGAACATTGTACCTTATTACTGAAATGTAATTGAGTTGAGTCGAGTTCTTAGTAGATCTCTTTCTGAATGCTCTTTAGTTTTGATCCTTGAATTATATTAAAACCATTTGCCATTTATTACCATAATAACAAACAAAGGATCTTGTAACAAAATATTATGCAAAGGTCGAGTGGGTCTCAGGTTCGATTCCCGGGTCGAGCAAAGTTTACTGGGTTTTTATAAAATTGTTAGTGCTAGCACGGGGTCTGGAAATGTGCCCGGTATATGGCAATAGGCTCACCCCCTATACGTGGGACTCATAACATAAAATAGTGAAAAGTGGGTGTTACATGATACAGTGGCATTAAGTGCCATAATGTGTACCTCTGCTACCGCTTCAGGGAATAAAGGCGTGATGTTATGTATGTATGAATAGAATACACCAATATGTAAGTTTTTAAAGAAATAACAGTGTTCATATGCAACAAAATCTTGTTCAAAACGTGTTTTATATATTTATATAAGAGCCCCAATATTAGTTAATTAGTTTTATAATTGTGTAACATTATATTTAGTTTACTGTACAGTTTCTTGTCCGTAATTAACTCGTAACAATTCGGTTAGTGCGTATATTGCCCTGTTACTGTGTTTGTTCACAGTTTTTATATACCGAGAATAAAATGGCCATAAACCTTCATTATAATATAATATTTACGTTACTATAAGTGCTTACGTCTTTAATTTACGGTATAGCCATTAAACCATATTTTTTATACTGGCAACACAATTAAAAACGTTTGTACATACTTCACCTAACTTGACGGACTTCTCACCATTTTTTATCGACGTTTCGTTATTTTCAAAACTACGCAAATTATTTTTTTATGAATATTTATTTATGTTAATTCCGTTTAATATAGCATTTGTGAGTGTTCTTGTGTTGTAATTAGATAGTGGGTGATATTTTCCGTCTGTATTTTTAGTTTGGTACAACGATGTACCTACTAATGGTCTCTATAACACATGCGACATTACACACCAGCCAATTTCGATTCGAAAAAAGTCCTACATTAAGCTCTTCCCGCCTATCTAATGGATTCCTCCGACTCTCCCAGGACCCCAACGTCATTACGCAAAAAACATACAGCAAAAAAAGAAAAAATACTCGACTCAAAAAAACACCTCCTGGGAGCACGAAGGTGTTGCCGCCCCTAGTCTTTTCTTACCCCAAAAATAAGGGGAGGCAATATCATACACCATTAGCAATTTCGCTACTTTTTTAACGGTGTCACAGTGTATATTATTGTGTTCGGTAATGCAGCGGGAGTAGCGGGCCGCGCCGCTACTTCCACCGTGTAATCAACGGACGCGCAATGCGTTTACTAAAGAAATGGATCGCAATACGTTGTTCATTTTACTGTTTAATTGAAAAATAATAAGTTATGTCGCGCGCCAGTGCAGCGCACAGCGGGGGCTCACCGATATTTAAAAAGAACGCAACCGCCATAATTTTCTCTCGCTTTATGTTCCTTTTTCGAAATTCGTAATTCGAACAAAAGCGCGCGCGGCGCAATGGTGCATGCATGATTGATAGCGGCCCGGTGACGTCACACACACCGACAACGCTACACTTTTCGAAAAATAAAATGCCTTGACCTCTGAATCTAAACTCCTACATTATTTGCTACCCTGGTGCCTTTACAGCCAATTTGCGTTTCCCGTCCCCACGCAAACTGCAAACTTAAACTCGAAAAGCATAAAGTAGAATTACATCGTTGAAAAAAAGCGAAAATTACCCCATCGCAGCTCACGGTACAAGTTAACGCCATAAACAAATACTAAAAATCTTGTAACCGAAATAAGGCGGCACTCTAAATAAGAATTAAAGTAAAATTGCTGAGGTGTGAGTCCCCGGGCGAGGGTGCATTAGCGGGGGACTCGCGACGATATTCATAACGCGAAAAATTGTAATAACCTGGCGAATATCAGGCAGGGCAGAGGGTACACCTAGCTGAGGAGGGCGAGCGAGGGATTTGTAAGGAAATTGTCTAAATATGCGCCCGTTACGTGGTGCTCATGTGTGACACGAGCGCCGATAATAAAAAAACATAACAGAGACTCGCACCGGATATTCACCTAAGGAAAGCGTAAATTTAACGACAGAGGAATTAAAAATGTGTTCACCGACGACTTTATGCGTCGCTTTATAGTGTAAAATTGTTTTAAAGCGTACATAGTATGAATAAAAATGACAGTAATAACGTTTATGATAACTTATTGTTTATTGCTTGGCCGCCGTCCTACCAATTTTAATTTCAATTTGTAATTATTACGAATTACTGTTGAGTTGTATCGCTTTATCTGAACGACATTTTTATGGAAAGTGTCTTGTTGAGAACATTATTTTGAGAAATTAACTATTTAAGCAATATGTAGTAAATTATAATTAAATGGTTTATGATTAACAAAAATATTGTCATTGTAATCAGTCTGGTGTTTGATTGGCTGTCTCGTTGAACGAGTTAAAAAACGAGAGAGTT